TTTCTACTGGCTTCTTCCCTATTGCCCACAAACAGCATATTTCCATCATCCTCAAATTACCCTGACTTGGTCCAATTATCCCCAATAGTTTTCATCCTGTACTTCACATCCCCTCTTTGAGACAGCTATCTACATGATGTGCCTCCATTTCCTACCCTCTCACTTCTAATTCCTCTCTAATTTGGCTTCTACCTTAATCATTCAACTGCTCTCTCCAAAGTTACCACTGATCACTTAATTCACAAATCTAACAAATGGCCTTTTCTTGGACCTCATCCTTCTTGACATCTCTTTGGACACTGGTGATCAGCCTCCCCTCCTGGATCAGCCTCCCCTCCCGGATCAGCCTCCCCTCCCAGATCAGCCTCCCCTCCCAGATCAGCCTCCTCTCCCAGATCAGCCTCCCCTCCCAGATCAGCCTCCCCTCCTGGATCTTCTCTCCTCTCTAGGTTTTTTGTGACATTGCTCTCTCCTGGATCTCCTCCTACCTGTCTCACTCTTCTCTGGTCTCCTTTTCTGGATCCTATTGTGGGTCATGCTTATTTTTTAAGTGAGTATTCCTCCAGGATCTGTCCTAGGCCCTCTTTTCTCTTTATTCGATCTCACTTGGGAGATCTCACCAGCTACCATGGGTTCAACTTTCACCTCTACACAGATGATTCCTAGATTTTTTTATCCAGCCCTAATCTCTCATCAACTGCCGCTTAGACATCATGAATTCGATGTCCCATAGGCACCTCAAATTCAACACGTTTAAACCAGACCTCATCTTTTCCCACAAACCCTGCCCACTTCCCATCTTTCCTATTACTGTCCAGGGCACCATCACCCTCCCAGTCACCCTGGCTCACACTCTGGATGTCATTCTTGACTTTACGTTCTCGCTGCATATCCATTTTGTTGTCCAATCTTGTTATTTTTACCTTCACAATATATCTCTCACATATGGCCCCTTCTCTTTACTCACACAGCTGCCACCTTTGTGCAGGTCCTAGCCACCTGCCTCCTGGACTAATGCAATATGCTTCTCTTTGGTCTTCTTGCCTCAAGTCTCTCCTCCACTTAGCTGCCAAAGTTTTTTCCCCTAAAATGCAGGTTTGACCATGGCACAAACCCTTCTCCAGCCTCAATAAAGTCCAATGGCTCCAAATTATCTCTAGTATCAAAAACAAAGTGCTCTGTACAGTATTTAAAGCCCTCGAAACCTTTCTACCTTTGCACTTTTCTAACACTTTCGGACCCTTTGTGCCTTCTATGATCCAGTTACTTGCTTTTCTTCACAAGATACTCCATTTCCTGCTTCAGTACATTTGTATTCATTATCATCTTCCCATCCCCGGAATGTTCTCCCTCCTCACCTCTGATTCCTAGCTTCCTTCAAGACAGCTCTAGCCCATCCTTCGTATCCCTCTCACCCCACTCCTGCCCTTTAAGACTGCCTTCCATTTACACTGTCTAGATCTTGTATGTACCTAGCTATTTTCATGGCTTCTGTCTCTGCTTTAGAATGTGAGCTCCTTGAGGACAGGGACTTTTCCCCACCCTTCTTTGTGTTCCAAGCACTTAGCAGGTGCCTAATTAATGCTTGTTGACTGACTGACTGAACCCCAAAAGGCTGTTACAAGAAACCCAATCACAGCATGCTCCAGGTAAGATTTCTTATGTTTTCTACTCAGTTTGTGACTTGGATAGTAATAGACATTGTTTAATTCAATAGTTTCTCCTCTCTACCACCGACCTCAATTTCAGAAAGCAAGCACTTGTTTTCTTTTTCAAAAGGACTATCATTCCTTTCCCCCTTTTAGTTAATTAGAAGAAAGCCACACAACCTCTGACTTTCTACCTGGCTCTCTTACATTTTCTGTGCTTAATGTTATGTGCTCAGCTATTTGGTACTTCTGGATACTGAAAACGATTTGCTTTGATGGTGGCATTCTGCTTTCAAAAACACAGAACTGATATGTTTCCTTATGCTTTCTACCTAATCTTTTTTCATGTCACAAGTTCATTTTCACACATTCTTTCTAGAGCAACCAGAGCTAATCACTGAGTGATAATCACTGGCTCCTAGTGTAATGAGAAAAAGTTTGTGAAAATCTTTACAACTGGCACCTCCCTTTTTTTGTACCTGTAGCCCCAGCACCTAGCGTAGTGGCTGGTATGGAGGAGACATGTATAAAATACCAGGTGTGCTGTTTATATGATAGGAAATATCTAGATGAAAACTTTCAAAATTGAATTAAAATTCAAAACATTCTGCCTCCATAATGTTGACCATCCAGACACCTGGAAACATACAGATAATGAATGGAATGTATCTGTTTTTCTGTTTTTGGTTGTTCTAGAGACAAAGCAACAACAAAAAACTTAGGGGGCAAAGTAAAGCAGCTGGAGATGTTCACATGAAAACATCTGGATTCTGCCTTTGCGATCAGGCAGAAATGTGTGAACCATTCAGGAGAAATAGTTATCTTGTTGAAGAAGTCCTGGGATGGAAACAATAACTTTCTTAGCAGTCTAGTCAGTATTTTCTATTTTTTTAAATTTTTTTTTATTTTTTTAGGCAATTGGGGTTAAGTGACTTGCCCAGGGTCACAGAGCTAGTAAGTGTCAAGTGTTTGGTCTGAGGCCAGATTTGAACTCAGGTCCTCCTGACTTCAGGGCCGGTACTCTATCCACTGTGCCACCTAGCTGCCCCTAGTCAGTATTTTTTAAATACCACAATGATCAATGTTCTTCCTTATATTGAAACAAAATTCTGCTGCTTTATGAGCCCATTTCCTGTCTTTAATCATCTTTCCAATTGTTCAGCATGCTGTTCCAAAAGTCCTTCCTACACTTGAACATAAGCATTAATTCATAAAGGGTTTTGGAATTGTGAAGGGGAAGGATTGGATTCAGGGAAAGGAAATGTGGGAGGGCTTTAAAAGAAGCTGGAGGAGAGGTCAGAAGGCCAGAGCTGAAGGAAGAGGAAGATTCAACCTGAAGGAGAAGTGTTGAAGATGAAGGGAAGGATTGGACCAAAAAAAGGAAGAAGAAGGTGAAGGACCTGAAGAGGAAAAGAAAAATCAGGAGCGGAAAGTGAAGAATAGATTGGAGAAGAGAGAGACTTGAGAAAGAGAGGCCAATGAGATGGTTATTGCAATAGTCCCTGGGAGGGATGGTGAGGGCCTGACTTGGATAAAAGGTATGTGACAGAGAGAAGGTGATGTATGCAGAGCGTAGTTGGGGTTGGGGGGCCATAATAGCTCAAGAGAGAGATTAGGGTTAGATGAACAGGTCTAGGAATCATCTACAGAGATGAAAATTGACCTTATGGGACCTGATGAGATTACCAAGAGAAGTAGTAAAGAATGAAAAGAGAAAAGTGCATGGGACAGAACCTTGGGGGACACCCACAGTTGGTGGGCATGACAAAGAGGAAGATCCAGCCAAAGATAACTGAGGAGTAGATATGGAGGGGAGAGAGGAAAGTCATAAAAACTCATTGAAGAGAGAGTGATCAACAGAATAAAATGCTGCAGAGAGATTAAGAAAGATGAGGACTGAGTGCTATATTCTGTACATATGCATAGTACTTGACAAGCACTTTATAAATATTTTTCACTCAGGCATTTATTTAGTCACTCATTTAGATGTCTAACCAGTTGTTCCTTAGGCTATTATTTGTGTTTTGGGTTCTTGATTTCTAATTTGACCTTCCCTTACTCCCTGCTGAAATGTATCAAATCCATTTGATTACTTTTGATTACTCCATTGGGATATTTTCTTCTATTCTTCAAGGATATGAACAAGAGAAGGGAAGCAGAATCATGTCTTTTAGATCCATTGCCTGACCACCTGAGAACCCTTGCTTGGGGTTGGGGTGGTGGTGGTCTAAGTTTATGTCTGTGACTTATGTCCTTAAAAAGTCCATGAAAGGACCTAAGACATCTGGATGTTGATAGTCACTCCTGGTAACCTTACAAATGTTTCTGGGCTTACTTATTTCAATACTCTTTTGTGCATGTTCTTAATTAGAGGAAGCAAGCAGGGTATGAGAAGACCAACAAATCATTTGAAGAGCATTGTTCAAGAGTAGACATCCCAGGATATTAGGGTAGAGGTGGAAATATTCTAAGATAATTTAATTAATATGACTTTTTTCTTCAGCTAGTGCAAGTAAGACGTTTTCATTATTTTTCTTGGATAGTTAGGATAGTAATTAAAGAAACAAAAAAAAGATAGTGAGCTAGTTTTAAGATGCTCAAATTGTTGTATTAAACCCATCAGACCTGGCAATTGTCAGTTTAATCATGGCCATACCAACCAACTCAATCGGGTTTTCAAATTACACCAATGCTAACAAATGCCTATCATTAAATATGCTTTTAGGATAGATCAATTTATCCTATATTTTGTACTTGGTGCAATACGGCTGAAGTGGAGCTTTTAAGTCACAAATATGTACAAACTCTCTCTCTCTCTCTCTCTCTCTCTCTCTCTCTCTCTCTCTCTCTCTCTCTCAGAGCCTCTTTATATAGATTAAATTAAACCTACTATAGCACTAATCTTGACAGGTCATGTGGTATCATGGCATTAACTCCTAGAGCATCTTGTGGGGGATGAGGGAGGAGGCTGAGAATCTACCCTAGACTGAAATTAAGGACATTTTATCTTCTTGGTGAAGAATGAATTTAGTGTTTTCCATTTATTAATGGTTTTCTTGTTTTATTCAGCTTGTTAAAATGGAAGCTAAGGAAATATAAGCTCAAAAGGCAGTGAGTTTTGCTTCTGTATACATTCCACTGAAATGACTTTTTTAAAAGCAGAAATGAAAAAAATAAGGCCCAGAAGGTCCTGTAAAATGTAACGTATGTGACATTTTTCAGCCCTACCAGTGAAGGCACCTCCAGGCAAAAAGGGGCTGTCATGGTGGGGAGCTGGTTGCATTGTCTTTCCTTGCACCCTCTTTTGCCCACTGGACTACCTAGGGAGTTTGAGGATCTCATTCTACTTACTATTTCCTTCGGCATTCGCTAGCACGGTCAATACGGAATTCAGGTAAACTGATGAATCCTTCGGCTTTTTCGTCCTATCAGAAAAGAAAAGAGAATGTTGAAGAAACATTTTGGACAGAGGAAGCTGGGCCTAAAAATGAAGAACAGTATCAGTTATATCACCTGACTCTAAGCCAGGTCACAAATGTGGTAATGAACATATTTTCCTTGACTGTTTATTCAAGAATGCAGCAGTTTACTTAGCATGTACTCAAAACAGCTTTCTGTAAAGTGAATGAACCGTGCATTCATTAAGCCAGTGAGGAGAACAACAATCTCTTCTCTGTTAATGATAACACAGAGTTGCTTCAAAATATGCAAATAACTTTCAACATCTTCTGGGGCATTCAAAGCAGAGATTAACAAACAATACATCAATAAAGACCAGCAGCGACATTACCAATCAGAGCAACACACAAACACATTTCTAAACCACGTTAAATTGGCCAGCACAAAACAACATTTATACATACTAATCATTTTTTATCTCCGAAGTGCTTTAAAAATCTTTACAAATTAATTGGCTCATCATTGCTGGGCAGTAGATAATTCGTGTTCTCACGTCAGAGATGAAACATGTGAAGCAGAAAACTTAAGTGAGCTGCAGGGGTGGTTGTGTGTGGGGGATGGCAGAGACTGGGACAGGGTCTCTTTGTGTACTGCTGACGTGACTGTGTCTTGAGATTTGCTATGAATGACACAAGCCTAGTATATTCCAATAGTCTATAGAGCATGGAGGAGTCTGGGCCCTGCAAATCCCGTACGCTGTGCTGTATGGTATCTATTAAGTCATTCAGCCTGAGTTTCCGTTTCTTCAGGGGTATAAAAGTCAGTATTCTGTGATAGTGAAAAGAAAGCTGAACTTGAAGTTAGAGGACCTGAGTTCAGATCTGTCACTTACTGCTTATGTGACCCAGGGTAAGTTACTTAACCACTTTCAGCCTCAGTTTCCTCATCTACAAAATAAAAGGCTTAGACTAGACAAAGTCCAAAGTTCCTCCCATTGCTAAATCCTACTACTAAAAGCTTGTTTCCAGACTAAACATTCCCAGTTCTTTCAACTGTTCCTCATATAAAATTTTGTCCATTTCATTGTCTATCCCAGGCACCTTCCCTGGAATTTCCATTTAATGATGTACTCTTCAAATGCATCAATCTCCTAGAATTGGAACAATCACTTGAAATGTAGCCCAATCAGGCCAGAATCTGGTGGAAAGATAGCCTAGGTTGATCTGGACATTATACTTCTCTTTATGTAGCCAAACCAACTAAATTAAATTGTGCTGGGGAGCCATATGACAGTGTTGACTTGTATTGAGCTTTCAGTCCATTGAAATCCTTAAGTTTTTTTCACATGAACTGCTATTAAGGCATGCTTCCTCCCATCCCTTTTCTTGTACTTTTGAAGCTGATTTTTAAAAAATCACAATGCAGAATTGTATATTCATTTCTGATAAATTTCACCTTCCTTCTAGATCATCACAATGATCTTTTTGGATTCTGATTTTATCATCCAATTTATGAGCAATCCTCCTCACTTCTGTGACTTCTGTCATTTACTAAATGGCTAATCATATCATCTCTTTCTTGATCCAAGTCACTGGTAAAAAGGCAAGAAAATCTCAAATGGGGTCACAAAGAGTTGGACACAACCAAAATGACCGAACCACAGCAACGGCAGAAAACCATGTGGCACACTACTCTCCAGGACAGTCATTTATCACTGTTGTTGTTGTTGGCGCCTCACTGAACTTATCTTTCTCTATCTTGCCACAAAGATATTATAAAGACATTGTAAAATGCCTTGGTAAAATCCAGATACATGATGCGTACGGCATAATCTAGCAGCTTAGTTAAAAAGGAAATAAGGCTAGTTTGGCATGACTTGTTGTTAATGAACCCATGCCAACCCAAATAATCACTGTTTTCCTTACTGAGCATTCACAAAGAATTCATTTAATAAAGTGTCCTAGAATTTTCTGGGGACTAGAATCAAGGTCTATGGTTTGGACAATCTACCTTTATCTTCCTCTTGGACAACTGGGATGTATTTGTCTGTCTGCAGGTTCTTTTGTACTTTTGTTCTCCATGGTTCCTAAGAGATCTCTGATCTTTTCATTCTCCTCTCCAGAGCCTTTCAATCCCTGGTTGTATAATTTCTCTGAACCAGGGAAATAAAACTCATCTTTAGGAATTAACTCATCTATCTTCTCCATTGTCTTGGGCTTCTAAGCTTGTCTTACCCCTTCTATCCTGAAGGTCATTCTCCTTAATATCAAAGACAGAAGCTACTCTTCTGGCCTGTCATTCGTTAGGTGACTCTAGCTCTCTTTTTTTTCTTCATCCTTCTCTTTGCTTGGAGCAGAACTTGAAAGCCATCTTTGTTCCTCTTTATTTTACAGAGGAGGAAATTGAGGCTCAGACAGGGCAAGGACTTGCTCAAGGTCACAAGGATAATGACCCAGGTCCTCTGACTCTAAATCTGGAGCTTTATCCTTGGATATGAGAACCGTCTGCCATATTTGTACTAGATTTGTTGTTGGGGGGGGGATAGTTTGGCCCTGCGATTTCATTAGTCATTGGATCTTTTAGGGTCAGGCTATACCATCAATAAGATGAGGAGACAATGGAGAAAAGTAATTTTTTCCCTATTTACTATAGGCATAAAAACCTGGGAGTAGTATTTCTTCATAATGGGAAATGTTTGGGTGCTTTGGACTATAGGATATAAACCTTCTCATTTGCACACCCTCTCTAACAATGTTAGTGTTTGTGAATTATCTTCCAGTAAGAGCTGTGCCCTCACTGGCTTGCCGCCTACTATTAGATACCATTAGCAAGCCATTGCTTATGAATTTGTCAGAAATGCCCTTCTCCAATTGAGCCAAGGCTTCTCTGGGCCAGAAGGGTTCGACAGAGATTTTTTCCCCTCGACATACTTACGTCTGGGTTGCTGTACCAGTAGAGGGAAGATTCTTTTAGAATGAACCAGTATTTTCTCCATTTCTGAGTGAAGTAGCCTTTGCCGTCATTCTTCTTCCATAGCCAGCCTTCACAGTCTCCATGGCCCAAGTCTTTGCAAGAGATGCGTCTTCGGCTTCCGCTGTTCCAAGAACTCCCTGTGGGGTGAAGGAAAACAAGGGAGGAGTGAATTCCTCCATACTTAGCCTGCTGCCCAGGACAGGGATATAACAGGAGAAAGCCAGCTAGACAAAAAGAATACTACTCTGGCTTTTTGATCACTTCTGGGGTTGCTGGTCATCTAGCCAACAATATCTGACAAAGAATCATTTTCCATACAAACAGTGGTATCTTCACCACTGCCAGCAAGAATCTACCCACAAACAAAAAGATTTCTTCTTTCCCTAATACTATGGAACAACCTTGGAAAAAATAGGAGATTAGCAACTATGTTCAAGGGTGTGTTCCAAAAAAGTTATGCCTGTATAAGAGTCCGAAAACATTTGTGCAATTAAAAAAAAAATCAACACAGGCTTGGACATTTGGTAGTTATTAGGTGGTCTGAAATGTTTTTCTTTTTTTCACTGAAAATAGATTTAGTGGGTTTTTTTTTCTCATCTTGCTCCTAGACTGGTTAGTGGCTGGCGTGATTGACTGTTGTAACAAACCCCACTAGGACAGTTCTTTGCAAAGGAAGCACTGACTATATAAATATAGTATTTAACGCTGAACCCTGCCAGACGGCTCTACTGGGCTCCATCACTAACTCAGAGCCAAGTGACTCATCAGGGTCATCCATCAAAACATTTTTTTAGTTTGAGTTATTGTCATGTGTCAGGAAAAGATCTTGACCAAAGTCTTTGGGTCAGTAGTTGCATTCATAGATACAAAGCCTATAAACTATAAGCATTCCTTTGGAATTTAATTGCAACTACAGTAGAAGAAAAAACAATAATGCCTGCATTGAATCTATTCTCAGCTCTATGAGGGCCAAAAGAGACCCTTTGTTTTCTTAACTTTTAAGCATCTTACTTAATAACCATGAAATTTCAGTCTCTCTTCTATGAACTGAGTTCTTCCCTGGTGCCTATATCACTTTTCCTGCAAAGCCTGAGGCAAATTTAATTACAGTATTAGACATTTTCGTTGGAAAAATCCAGTTTATGTTGTTACATTAATTATAATTGTCTTACAGCTGTGTGCCACTGTTAGAAGTTTGTAGCACATTAAATTGCTTTTTTTTACCCTTACTCCAGGGTCCAGCTCATAACAGCTGTGCTAACTGCCACAGAGAGCATAGCACCCTGGGCAACATTCAGGACCTAGAGGCTTTCCCTGCTTCTGCCTTCAGAGACAGGATCAAGGCCATTACGGTGCCAACCCTGCATGTTCCTGATGAAGCCTTTAGGCAGGTGGCAGCCAGGGCTTCTTTACAAAGCAGCCGCCGCCACACCTTCCCCTGTCCTTTGCTACCTCTTCTAAGTAATCTCCCTTTTCTGTAAGTCTTGGGAGTGGCTTCGTCTGTCTTTGTGAAAGTGCCGGAGCATCTCTTGGTTAGACCATTGTTTCAATGAGTCAAGAGTACACTACTCCATCTTTTTGGATGTTTGTTTTTGGGGGGGAGGTGCTGCCCAGAGAGCAGTTGGCTTTCCAAATCATTTCCTTAATACTATGGCCAATGCTGGTAAGCCACAGACAAATTAGGACTATATCAAAATGATCCAATCTAGTGGCGTCAAACTCAAATAGAAACAGGGGACACTCAACTGTCCATCAAGATCCCTGCAGGGTGCATATTGACTTAGTTTTTAAAATGTAATGTCATCTGTTTTATTACATATTTAAAAATTTTGTTCAATATTTCCCAAGTACATTTGAATCTGGCTCGGGCTGCATCCTGGAGTGTTGCAGGCTGCATGGTGGCCTAGCAGCCAGGTGTTTGACACTTCTGATCTAACCTATCCGGTTCATTTTTGAGAGGAGAAAACTGAGGTCCAGCAAATGCAAGTGACTTACTTAAAGTTGCATGATGAGTTAGTGGCCAAGCTGGGATTAGAACCCATGTCCTTTGGCTCTCAGTGCATTATGTCATTCTGCCCACCTTTATCCACTATGTACTACTTAGGCTTCTTAGGATCCCAGTACACCAGAATCTGGGATTGGCTTGCTCTCCCTAGATTTTAAGTCTGAATATGGATGATGTGGCTTGAGATAACTTGTTAAAGTATGACTGTTAAATGGGAAATTAATGATGGGAAGAAATTCTCCTAATTTGAGAAGATTAATCAGAAAACATGCCCCCTTCTACACATTGAACATGGCCCCATCTTTGTAGTAAGAAAAAAAACTAGAACAGATTTTTAAAAGATTTTGAATAACAGAATAATTTCTATAATTTACCTCTGGACCACTTCTTGGTTTTTTCTCTCAAGGAAGTGTAGTGGAAAGACTATTAGAAAAAGAGAAAGTGTGAATTAATATCAATTCACGCTTCATACAATAGTAATCATACTTATTAAACTATCATATTGTATGTATTTATAACCATGGTTTTCTTCATCTCTGTCATTTCAAGAAACAGAAAAAAATGAATTTTGAATGGCAGCAAATTTTTAAAGGCATATTCAAAGAGTAACAAGCTAATTGTATACAGAAAGAAAGAATCTGCTTTATTGGCTTACATGAGACACTTGAATGCCTGAAGGTTGTATTTTACCGGTCATGAGCTAATATTTGTATCTGTAAAGCACTGCATAAGAGATTTAGGCAAAAACTTTTCAACAGAGCCCATATACATTCTTCGAATCTAAGCTGGGATACTAAGGTGAAAAAGCCAAGATTCCTCTAGGTCCTTTCCAATCCATTTGTTTTTCTTGTGTTAACCTCTTCTCATTGCCTTATTGTGTTTCTCCAGTAAATGGTGTTATTAGCAAAATAACACCATTTTACATCAGAACAGTATTTTATATAGAGTGCCTTATACATTTTTAAATCATTCTCTCATTTATTCTCTCATTTATCTTCACAATGGCCCTGGGCAGAAGGACAGGATGATGATTATTATCTCCATTTCACAGATGAGGAAACTGAGGCCCAAGTTCACACAGTAAGTTGTGGCAGTAGATGGAGGACTAGACATTTCCCCCGATCTTCACGACCTTTCAAACTTCCTCAAAATAAGAGGTATACATAAGAGGCAAAGCAATTGAAACTGTCTCCAGTCTAAGACACCATGTACCCTAAAGAGAACCCACAGAAGGGAATAGAATAATGTATTTTGAAGAGCAAAGGAGATGAAAATGCAACCCAAGGTGACATACTCTGCAAATCTGAGCCTAATCATTGGTGAAAAAAAATGGGTATTCAATAAAAAAAGAGGTATTTGAAGCATTCCCATAAAAAACGGACTGAGAAGATTCTTTGCTTTCCCAACAGAAATACAAGAAAGGTAAGCAAAACTAACAACCATGAAAGGTTCAGGTGATGCTGTTCCTTCCTGTCTTCTGCAGGTTGTCCCCTCCATCAACCCTACTCTCTCATTTGCCTTCAACCTCTCCCTGTCTAATGGCTCCTTCCCTACTACCTATAAACATGTCCATGTTTCCCCCATCCTTAAACAAGTCTCATTTGATCCATCCATTCCTGCTATCATCCCATTTCTCTTCTCTCTTTGGTGGCTAAACCCTTTGAAAAGACAGTCTTCAATTGAAAACTTCACTTCCTTTCCTCTCACTTCTTAAGGCTCTACAATTTGTCTTCCAACTTCACTACTGAACTGAAACAGTCTTTTCCAAAGTTACCAGTGGTCTCTTAGTTGCCAGGTCCAGTGGCCTTTTCTTGGTCTCATCCTTCTTGACCTTCCTGCAGTCTTTGACACTGTTGATCACTCTCTTCTCCTTGATATTCTCTTCTCTCTAGGTTTTCATGACAGTATTCTTCCCCGGTTCTTCTCCCACTTGTCTGAACATTCGTTGGCATCTTTGCTTATTCATCGTCCAAGTCACACCTGTTAATCGTGGGTGTCCCCAGGGTTCTGTCCTGGGCCATCTTCTCTCTATATTCTATTTCACTTGGCTATCTCAGCAGTTCTCATGGATTCAATGATCATTTCTCTGCTGATGATTTTCAGATCTACTTAGCCAGCCCTAAGCCCTTTGCTGACCTCCAGTCTCACATCTCCAAATGCCTATTAGATATCTTGAACTGGCTGTCTTGTAGACATCTTTAACTCAACATGACCAAGACTAAACTCATTACCTTTGCTCCCAAACCTTCCCCCCTTCCAAACTTGCCAACTGCTGTTGAGGGTACCACCCTCTCCCCAGTCACCCAGGTTCACAACCTTGGTGCCATCCTTGACTTCTCACTCCTCAACACTCATGTCCAATCTGTTGCCAAAGCCTGTCAATTTTACATTTGCAACATCTCTCCTATGTACCTCCTTGTCTCTTCTGATACTGCCACCACCCTGGTAAAGACCCTCATCATCTCATGTCTAGACTATTGCACTAATCTACTGATTGGGCTCCCTGCCTCAAGTCTCTACCCATTCTAGTCCAGCCTCTACTTGGCTGTCAAACTGACCTTCCTAAAGCACAAGTATACCTTGTATACTTGGGGGGTTACACCTTATTCCCCTCCACATATTCTGGGATCTAGTGAGTCTGGCTTCCTTGATGTTCATCTCTATCTCATGGGCTCCCTGGCTTCCTTTTGATCTCAGCTAAAATTCTACCTTCTCCAAGAAGCCTTTCCCAGTCCCCTTAATTCTTGTGCCTTTTCTCTATTGTGTATCTCCAATTTATCCTGTATACATCTTGTTTGTATATAGCTGTTTGCATGTCATCTTCACCATTAGACTATGAGCTCCTTGAGGGCAGAGATTTTCTTTTGTCTTTCTTTGTATCCCCAGTGCTTAGTACAGTGCCTAGCACATAGTAGGCATTTAGTAAGTGCTCACTGATGAAATAACAGAGGGACCATTGAGAGTTTTCTTTCTAGAAATGGGTAAAAGTGCAACTTATACGGAAAAACTGATGGTAGAAAAAAGGCCTGAAATATTATCGACTAAACTTCACCACACTTGACCTACAGGTGAATTAACATGTTTTTGTCGGACTGAACTGCAGAATGAGAGGGCATATAAAAGTGGAGAAGGAAGGGAGATCAAGGGGAATGTGTGATATACCCTAATCAAGGCAATAGTAAACCAGAAAGGGAAAATAACTCCTGTAGCCTCTCAAAGGGGAGGGAGCTTATGGGAGAAAGGGTACTGAGGCAAAGTGGGGAGTGATTGAAACAAGGGGAAAGAAAGAGGGAAATCTCAATTCAGTGGTGGTGGGGGTCCCACTGAAGAAAACTCCCATGGAAGAAGGGAGATATTCTATGATGGGAGATTGGGACCTTGCAATCAACATAATCTGCAGGGATATGGTGCTTAGAGAGACCCCAACCTCTGAGAGACATGTGCCTCCACAGACAGCATCCTGCCTCAGGAGAAGAGGAATTAGAACTCTAGGGGATAAATGACATCCAGAAAAGTGGAAGGGCATGAACCTAGAAAGGAAATTTCATGGGAAATAGGAAAAAAATGATCATGGGGAAGTCAGGGGCTATATATGTATAAGCTAATACAATCAGGGACATAGAAAAATTTCTACCATGGGGCATTGCCTGTAGCCTCTCTCTCCAGCAACTGCTATTTCTAAAAGTAAGGCACAAGTGGGGATGGGGAAGGGGACAAGATCTACAAAGCAATAACACAGAAATTCAAGAGATTTGCCTTAGAAATTTAAAATTTTAAACCTATGTGGAATATAGAGACAAAAGAAGGAAAGAATCAGAGAATAAGAGCCTAGAATAGATAGAAAAGGACCAATGAAGAGAAGAGAATGAGGGAAAGAAATCCTTGGCCTGCCCTGGCCTACTTGCAGTTTCTAGAAGACAATATTCTCTCTCTCTCTCTCTCTCTCTCTCTCTCTCTCTCTCTCTCTCTCTCTCTCGGCTTGGTAAGATTGGAGTTGAGTCTTGAAGAAAGCCAGGGAGGAAGTGGAGCCTAAGAAGCAGAGGTGAGGGGACAGAGTATTCCAGGCACACAGGACAGCCACAGCAAAGGTATGAAGCTTTTCTTTTTATTCCTAGTAGGCACTTAATAAATGCTTGTTGACTGATAGACTCACTGACTGATCTTCACTTCAAGACTAGCCCTACCTTTATTCATGATTCAAGGAAGTATTTGGTATATCCTGCCTAACTTTCCTAGTCTATTATCTGGCCTTAGAAAAGCAATGGATTAGGTGTGTTGCTTCTTGACCCAGTTTCCTTGAATAATTGGGAGTCAGTATATATTGGTATATTTAGTTATGTTTCCAGAAAACAGGAGATTATTCACAGTACCTTAGATATAAAATCAACAGGTACTTTCCTATCAATATTTCTTTACTGATATCCCAAGGACCTTTGAAGAAATGATTGAAATCTATATTATTTCGTTCATCTCCAAAGTACTGCAGCCTATGAAGTGGCTGCTTCATGGCAAATGTTTGCTAATGGCTAATTTACCATTTTCTGTTCATGGTTAGGCCACCTGCTCTTGCATCAATCAGTATATACTCGAAGAATAGAAGCCCATTCCAATATTATCCTCGAACAGTTAAGAAGCTAAATCTGCTACTAAAACATATGTGTGTGTATTTATACACAAGCATACATGCATCATACTCCAAAGTAAAAAAGAAATAATTTTCGGATTATCTGACTCATGTCCCCCTTCCTCTACTAACATGGATAAGCAAATGTGACTATACAGTCAAGCCAGCTGTTCAGAGACATTCTGATGGGAAATTTTTGTTTTAGGCCAAGAGTGGAAAATACTGAAAAGAGAAGGCTTTCTTTGATTAGACATTCTTCTAGTCTGCCCTGAAATTTGAGACCATTTTTGTTGTTCATTTCATTTCTGTTGTGTTCGATTCTTTGTGACCCCATCTAGGGTTTTCCTGGCAAAGATACTGGAAATGTTCACCATTTCCTTTTCCAACTCATTATACAGATGAGAAAACTGAGGCAAACAGGGTTAAATGACTTGCCCAGGGTCACACAGCTAGTAAGTGTCTGAGACCAGATTTGAACTCAGTTCTTCCTGACTTCAGGGGGCAGCACTCTATCTGCTGTGCCACCTAGCTTATAGGGAAACATTGTGAAGGAAGAGACAAAATAAACAAAATGGCATTAGTGTGACTGAGAACAGAGAAAATAGGTAGGAAATCCCAGTGGATGGTACTACTGTCAGCCTCTGGCTAAGGTACAAGTTCAAACTTTGAGCAACTTTACATAAGTATATAAAAGCCATGAGAAATAGGAACCAAAGTGAGAGGAAAAGCCTGGAGTTCCCCCACAGTCTCTTACTATTTTGGTTATATCTCCCATTCTGAGTAATAATGGATTGATCAT